TGGACTGCTGTAGGCGGGCGTTCTTATTGATAGTTGGACAGGGTTGTTGATTAGGGGTTACGTGCACGAGGGGAAGGGGAGGGAGGGGGGGTGAGGAGGGGGCAGGGGAGGGGGGTAATGAGAGCAAGGGCCAGAACGCCGGAAAGCAAATCACATCTACCGGCGTCCGACAATGTTTATGAGTTGACGTGAAATAAAACGAAGAAAATATACATTTGTAGCTATTCTTAATTTTATGCTTGTCTTGTGAGGTGAAAATCGTATTATTTTAGTCTTTCTTGATTCTCAGCACACTTGATATTTTGCCAGGTTCGCATGTTTATTTTCCATTCTAAATATATAGTCTATAGTAAGAAATGTCGAGAAATCTTGTAGTTTCTGGGACAACTGTGTTTGTTGAGACCACCAAAAATAGCCCAATCCAGAGATCTAGTTTCCCGGTTAGTTTGCGCAATAAGACTTGAAAGCAGAATTCTGATGTTTTTAGTCAGGCTTCCCTTCACTTGTCTCGTACAAAGTTCAACGATAGTTAATCATGTGAAAGCTTCTTTCAGTACAAAGTGTTGTGGTTAATAAAACTGCTAGAACAATGTCAGTTATTGCAGAGTGCGACAGGTGTTTTTTTGCAAAGAGCTTAACAAGCACTAAAAGTAAGGCAATTTAGTGCGATAGACACTGCAAAGTGCTACGGTTATTATAAAGTGTTACAGAACAAGGAGCTGCGTTTGAATCTACGCCAGAGGCACAAAACCTATCTGTTATTATTGGGCGTATAGTATTGCATAGTGTACATTTTCATCTCTCAGTCTACAATTACGTGTCACAGGGGACATATAGAGGACACGTGGAGGGTATATATTCGGAAAAGCACTTTCTATTTACACACTGAGTTCAAGCTATGTCGTCTTGTCTAACAACGAACCTCTCTCAAGCAAATGATTCGACCCCTGCCACATTTGAGGAGAAAAAGATGCTTCTCGGAAATGCTGATATCGTAAAACTTTTTTTTGAAATTCTTATCGCTCTTTTTGGAGTTATTGGCAACGCTCTAGTGATCTTTATCATTGTCAGAAGAGGAAAGAGGAAACACGCTGGAGATCACTTTATTCTGCAGCTGGCGATTGCGGATCTTGGAGCACTGCTAATCGCTTTTCCAGTTGTCATCGTAAGGGAAAAGGCGTCTCTTAACTGGCCATTCGGGAGGTTTACTTGTCTCTATTTGTACCCTATTGTGGAAATATTCTTCGGTGCGTCTGTATGGAGTATCGTGGCTATTGCTGTAGAGCGATATCGGAAAATTGTGTTATTGAAATCATCTGGTCTATGCAACCGAACGAATTCATCCAGTCGAGTTTTTGCTACTGCTGTTAGTTTGTGGGTGGCATCTTTTGTGTTGTTTTGCCTTCCGCTTTATTTTGCCGTGGATTATCATCCCACGCCAAATGGAGGGGAGTGGTGTGGCTTAATGTGGCCAGTGCTGTTTGAAAAAATCTATGTTGGATGTCTGACTTTATTTTCCTACACTCTGCCCTTAATAATCATCTCCTTTACTTATGTTGTGATATCTCGCGCACTACGACAGAGCAGCTCATTTATCAAAACCATGAAACAAGAAAATGAAGATGTCGTCAAAAAGGAGCAACAAGGGACAAGGCTGGGATCTTTTAAAAACTCTAATCGCCTTGAAAATAGCCGATCTATGATCAACAGGAAAAAGATGAATCGCCTTTGTCAAAACAAACGAGCCAAGAAAATCATAACACCACTTGTTTTGGTGTTTGCATTAACGATGTTTCCCTTAAATATTTTACGCCTCGCATTAACGTTTTGGCCCGAGATTGTTCCAGAAGACTATTTTGCAAATATTCTTTATGTAGTAGTTGTTTCCACAATGCTCAATCATGCAGCTAATCCGGTGATTTATTCTGCTGTAAGTAGAGAATTTCGTACGGAGATGAAAAGCTTGTGTCATGGAGGTCGTGGGAAACACCGTTCGTCTATCTTTTCTTGGTAGGATCTAAATCCACAAGAACTCACAGACACAAAGTTCATCATACGTATACCTTCTTGACAAATTTTACAGCAACTTCTGAGTCTTTTATTTTGGGAAGTAACTCTTAGAAGCTTTGTATGTTAAAACAAAATAATGCAATAATGATGTAGTCAATCAGCCCCCCCTCCCCCCGGGCTGACCCCCGGGCATCAGCATTTTTTTTTACCTTGGATGGCAAATTCCCGGGGTTGGGGACTCTTGAGCTGCCAAATCCCCTGCGGTGGGGATGAAAGAAGCAAGATTCAATAACCAAAAAATACGTTGATTTACGTCGATAGCTCCCGAGTTCCGCTATGTAATTCTGGGTTGATAAGCAATGAAGAAATGCATGCATAAAATCGAGTACATGCCTTTACAAACCTCTTCAATTTTTCCCGTCCTTGACAAATGAGCCAATCTGCTTGTTTTTCCAGTAAAATCATCTGTGTAGTTATATGCTGATAGGAAACCGCGTGCGTTTCAAAAGCTCGGGGTTAGTGCCGGGGTTGGCAAATGCCCGGCCCCCGGGCGGCGCAAAATTTGTAAATGCCCCACCCCCGGGACTGAAAAGGCGGGCAAATGCCCCGCAGTAGCCGGGGGGGGAGCTTGCTGGGCGCAGCTGGAATTAACTAATGCACAAATTCTACCCATGTGATTACATGTACGTGACAGTCCGTGATTTTTTTTTTTTTTCTCTTTTCGTTTTTTTTCCACCTGCTCTCCAACTTCATCTCCACGATTTATAAATAGTTCATAGCTTGTTCCTGTTGTGATTATTCGCAATTCCGTTGTGCCCACCGATGAGCAAACTCAAAGCTCAGTTGTTTGAGCTTCTGAACTGAGTTTGCCGACCTGTCTGTATATAGACCTGCTCACCTGATTTCTTCCTCTGGAACAGGTTTCAACATAGCGACAGTAACTAGATTCGTTACAACAACCAGCATGTGTGGATTCTGCAAAGAGCAAAATTAAAAACTATTCGGCACCAGAAATAAACTCTGGAACGGCGAAACTCACTGCCGATGAAAGCTGTTGATAAATAGGCAATATAAACAACCAATTCCGAATCCTCTTTTAACTTAATAGGATAAATTAAGTTGTATTTAGGATTTTGACTCTGTAATACCTGTGAGGCCCTTATTTTGATATTTCAAAAATTTATAAGAATGGGTAATTATACCGATAGCTTGGGAAAACTTTGGTCATTTTAAAGATATTACAGATTATCTACAACCCAGGCAAGACCCCCACAAGACCCTTCAAAAACATGCCAAAATTCGCCGTTTCCACACTAAAGAACGGCAAAAAACAACTGTCAACTAAGGACTTAAGACAGTGGGGGAAAAAAAACCGTCGTTTGCTTTCCCTGATTCAATGTTCAACTTCACGACATTACCAGCCTTGTATTTGTATGGGAGTCAGCATATTTTGTCGCTTGTCATATTTTGTCACCATATTTTGTCATTGTTTTTCGCCATTCAAAATGTTACAAAATTCAATTCCGTGAGTTTTAATGTTTGGCTCTCTTCGAAATAATTCTTCACTCCCATTTTGAGATAAATATAATCCTGGCCTGAAAAGCTTTTATTTATCTTAAAAACAGTAACACGCCCCTTAAAAAATTTTCCCTACAGCAAAGTTTGTACTAAAATGTCACACCTGTTGCTTTCTCAAACTATAAAGAGTTTTAAATAAACATGCCTGGCGTGGGAGTAATGGAGGGCGTTCAACTTTGCCTGACTGTGGGTGGTTTAAGCGAAGGCTTGCATTTAACCGCCAACTCAACCGCTTAGATTATTTGGCAAGTATAAACAGTCTCCAAGAATGTACAGTGGTAACTCGACCTCAGTATAAATAAATAATGATTTAAAAAATAAACAAAGAATAACGATCAGTCCAAGTTCATGGCTCGAAATAGGATTTTCGAAATGTTTGTTATTGAGGAGAGGGAAAACCGAAGTTCTTTGTTTTGGTTTTTTGTTTGTGTGTGTGTGAGTGTGTGTCTTCTTTTTGGCTCTTAGGATTGAGACTGGGGTGAACACTCGCACTGGTGTTAATACAGAGTTAAAAAAATCCTGGTAATCCTGTAATGCCGCTTCCGGAAAGGCCGATTAGCGGTTGCAGCCATATTTCAAAGAACAACACAACGACTAGGCGTACTAGTTTTGACAGATAACATACAGGAGTACCCCGGGGAGTACCCAACGAATCCGCTCCTCAAAATATCCGCTCCTCAGGCTAAGAATTTGCTGGGTAGTAACTAAATAATGGATGAGAAACTCTAGCTGGGAATTTTGCCGAAACGCTTATCTTGCTGTGGTTGTCCCTTTAAATACCGATGCTGGTTCGGCCAAAAAGAAACCCTTCCCCTCTGGCTTCCTGTGGCTTTTGAAAGTGTGCTCTGGCTAATTTATTTGCCGGTTATTTTTTGGCTGGAGCAGTAAAATGACACCTAGTAAGGAAATTTCAAAGATAGCGCTGTCTGTGAGTGACAACTACGGTGCACCGCAGGCGAGTCTATCTTTTTGTCGAGGGTCGAGGGTCGAGGGTTCCATGTCGAGGGCGAGGGTACCATGTCGAGGGTCGAGGGTAACATTTTTTTTTCCAATTTTTTTTTTTTGGAAAAGGTAATAATCGATGCAATCAATGTCATTTTAAAAAACAAATAAGACGAATTTAAAAATCATATGGCGTGTTGGGTGGAGATGGGAGGGGGTGGAATAGATAAAAGCTCCGGGACATCCCAATTTGTTTTCGAAGAATTACATTTATACCCCGGAGACCCATACCACGAACAGAACACGTTACTTGAAAACACTGATTTTTAAAAAAATGTTGTAAACAAAATTAAAATGTCGTAAAACAAGAATGAGTGCGTTGAATTATGAATTTCTGGTCCAGCCAACAAGAATGGAAGGAAAAAACTCTTATTGCGTTGTAAAATGTGTCATAAAATGTGTCATAAACGAACAATGCAATCGTTGGAGTCTATCTTTTTGCAGAACTATTAAAATGCGCGAACTCGCATAGAAATCGCCACCCACTAACGCAGAGGTTTAAAATAGAATAATGCCTGGTAGCGACTTTCGGTGAGATGAACATCGGCATTTACCGACGCTTTCCCATTAAAATACAATATATCTTGTATCTTTCTAGGCCACAATCGGTCATATTTATTTGTGAACGTGGACGTGGTGGACGTGAATAGGAAAAAAACAGATGTACGGTCCATGTCTCCCATTGATCCAATTAATTGTTTTACATTTGAGACATTTCTACTAAAGATCTGTTTTTTTGCCAAGTTGGAGATGAATAGGGAAAAACGGAGTACTGCGACAATGCCGTTTATCTTGAACCGTGAATACAAGTTTTTTTAATATTCCCGAAAAAAAATCGACTGTGTTGCAATTTCTGTTTTTAAAACTGTTTGAAATGTTACAACGTCACACAAGGCCATTCCTGTACAATTTTTCGGTCGGTCGGACAAGAAAAAATGCCATTGGGTTTGTGGAGTGATTTTTGGTTCTGTTTTGAGGATATTTTCCCTGGTATTTCAATTCAAGCTTTCTCTGTGATCTATTTTTCGGTGGTTTCTGATGTAAATTTACTACTTTTAACATCATGCAAGAAACTGGACATTGTATTCCAAGTCTGTCTTTTGCGGAATTTTTTTTCTTTAAATATTCATATAGTGTACACTCTTTTTTTCTTTTTTTGAAAGTTCGCATAATCGGTCTGCTTCGATGTGATCGCTGTTCGTGAATAAAAGCTCCCCTTTTCGTGCAAAATAGGAAATAATCGCTGAAGCCGTTGTGAAGAAAGTTTTTGCGCAGACACCTCTGATTTCTGTTCATCAACGGGTTTACCTTGTCCCTTCCCGGTATTTGATTTTTTTTTTTGTGCACAACTCAATTGTTTTTCATCGTCAACTGAAGACTTGCCCCCTCGGCATTTGATTCTGTCAGCACCGCATAAATAAATATTTTTCGTCGTCAAGGATAGACTGTGTTTTCCGGGTATTTGATTTCTTCTGCACCGCATAACTGTTCTTCATCATTATTTATGGACTGTGCTTCCCAACATATGATATCTTCAGCACCGCATAATTGTTCTTCGTAGCAAGGAAAGACAGTGCCTTCTCGCCAAAAAATTGTTCTGCATCGCAGAACTGTTATTCATCGTCAAGGATAGACTGCTCATTTGGTCAGTACTGCAAAATTGTTCATTATCGTCAATGATAGACTTTGCCTACCCGTGCATTTGATATCTTCTGTACCGCATAACTGGTTTCCATCATCAAGTAAAGACTGTGCCTTTCCCCTATTTGATTTCTTCTGCGACGCATGTTGGTTTTTCATCTTCAAGGAAAGACTAAGACTTTTTTTTTTTCTGTAATTTAATTTAATTTAATTTTATTTCCTTTGCTATTCCAAAGTACAACAATTACAATTATTATCACAAAGCATACATGCACAAACTTACTACACACCTAAGCACACGTGCAATTCCACAATTACACACAAGGTATGCCTACTGTTATTCAAAAAAGAAGAAACTAATCATTTTTTCAAAAGAAGAAAAACTACCTAGATTACAAAGTCCATTTGTCCATTAATTTTTGTAAATTCTTATTCTTAGTGAAAATATATTTTTCTATTTCATATTTACCGTTTATTCTAACTATAAAACTGTTTATGTTTGGGAGTAGTTCATTCCTTCTGCAACTCCATAAATATATTTTCCCTGTAAGTATAAGATAATTAAGCAAGGGGCATTCAGAAGATAAAAAGCCGATCCAAATTTCCTTTAATGTTAGGTGAACTAGTTGTTTTCGCAACCCAAAATAATATGATTCAACACATTTCCAGAATGAATTCGAATAAGGGCAATCCCAAAAGAAATGTCTAATAGTTTCTGATTCCCTTTTGCAAAAAGGGCACAAGTTGTCTGTCCTGTACCCAATCTTGAACAACTTTGAGTTG